GTTTATAGGTTTATAGGGCTTAGGGAACTTAGGGTTTAGGGTTTAGGGGTTTAGGGTTTAGGGTTTTGGGGTTTAGGGTTTAGGGTATAGGGTTTAGGGTTTAGGGTTTAGGGTTTAGGGTTTAGGCACATGTATAAAGCCTGCAATGTAACATGACCCTTACTCCAGAGCGCGGCGGCCTTCAGCATCTCGTGCGGCTCGACCTTCGTCATCTTCAGCAGCACATCCGCAGCTACGGTGTACATGGGGAAGCGCATCGGAGCTGCCTGAGAAACCGAAATGGGAGTTTCCGAAAAGTAGGCTACCTTCTTTTGGGGTCCTTATAATAAGGATCCTTCTATTTAGGGACTATATTAGGGTCCCCTATTTTCGGAAACCCGCAAATCCTCACAAACCCCAAAGCCCCAAGAACATGCGCCGTCTGCGTATGCTCCTAGCTGGGGCGAGGGATTTGTGCAGATCTACAGGACTTGCGGCGCCCAGTGGCGTCTGCATCATTCTCCAACGATCCGCCGTAGATCTCGAGCGACGTCCGGTGCTTTCCGAAGATGCAGGAAGACATGAGCTCAAGCCGCGCCGGACGAGGAGCTGAAACTGAAAAACGGAGGGAGGCCCATGCCCACCGCACAAAGCCGCCAATGAAGGGGTTTTTTTTTTTAATAGGGGTTCCGTGAGGACTGGAGGCCTTAAATGCGGTGCCCAAGGCTTTCTTAACAGGAGGCCAACCCTAGCTCTCTGATTCCAGAGCTGCCAGAGCCTGGCCTTGGGCCGAGACACCTGGAAAACCCGACTTCACTCAGGCAAACCTTGGCAGCAACAGAAGGAACAAATATTGGTCATTTATGGTCCCAGTCTAGTACTAGTAACAGCCCTAAACCCTGAAACCCTACACCCTAAACCCTAAACCCAATAATGGCAGAAGCGATAACCGCAAGATTCACAGAAGCAGTGACAGCAGCTTGCGACAGAAATCAACAGCACTACTAACAGTGCCCATGCTCACGAGAAGACGGATACTTGCGGCGCTAACTTGCAGCGGGTATAGTCGCTACCGCTACGTAGGCTCTAGTGACTCTACTAAGCGACACTACACCTGTCTCATGATCTGTACCATAGTACACTGAATTACGTGCTGCTTTGCGTGAGCTTCCATGTTCATGTACACTGCTTTCGCGAACTGCCCCCCGGACACTCTAAGCTGTACTATTTACTGCACCGGACTTGATTCTACTTGTTGCTTTTGGTTTCCCTGTGACTGGCGGATGGTGTACGATATGCGAACTACGGTGCACTGCAGTTTCGTATACTAGACCGAACAAGTGTTAAATGGTCCTTCTGGTAGGGGTAGACGTTGTGGACGCCGTCCCAACCCGGCACATCTGCAGCCATGCCGAACTTGTGCGGGGGCGTCATCGGAGCCGCTTCGCCAGGCACCGTCCGCGAAGACTCGCCATAGCCTGGCATGCCGAACTGCTGCAGGATTTCGCCGCCCCCATCTGCGCTCTTGTGGGTGAATGGGTCCTGAAGCATCCCCTCTTTTCGCACTCTTAAACGTAGGCCCAGAGGCCACAGCTCTAACACATGGAACCGTTGCCTCACTGCGTTGGGTCCTTCAGCAGGACTGCGGCATTCAGGAAGTACGTGGTGAAGGCCAGGACCGCGGTGTCTCCGGCGATGAACCGGGTGACACCGTTGAGGTGCCATTGCTGGGTGAAGGCTGGATTATCTGGGTTACGTGTTTTGTTGCTCACGTTCTTGAATGGAATTTTGTAGATCGTCTCGCTGCTCTCGCTTGAAAAAGTCCCCAGACTATCGTAAATGGAAAAGTAATCTTCTCCGTCGGCCGTCTTCTTTAAAGTCCTACCATCCTCCAGATTAAGGACAATGAATGCATCCAGAAATACGCCTCCGAAGTTGTTGTCAGTCTGCTTCTCCTTGTATTGAACACAGATGATTGCATGTAGGACTCCGTCAAACTCTTCTAGGAAGAAGGTGTGCGTGGGCGCCACAAAGACCAGTGGCTTCTTGCTGAGGGCCCTTTCAGCTGCAGCCAGGATATTGATGTCCTCGTACTTGGCATCACCATAGCTCGAATGCCATACCTGAGCTCTGCGACAGGGTTCAGGGTTTAGTTAGGGTGTCGGGTTTAGGGTCCAGTTGACTCTGCACCCTCTGCCTAACGAGCTCTTCCAAAAATCCCAACCCGAAACGCGAAACCAAACACTGAACTCCAAACCCGAAAGGAAACCTATCCTTTCCAAACCCTAAACCCTAAATTAAACCTAAACCCTAAACCCTAAACCCTAAATACAAGGTGCTCGCAGGTAGTCGGCACAGCAACCTCCAGTCAGATGCTTCGGGTGGCCAGCCTCGCAGGCATCGATGCAGAGCCAGCCAATCCCTCGACAGTAACTATGGTACTGCCACAATTTGAGGTTTATAGATCCCTTTAAGGAACCGTTCCTAAGAGTCTCTAATGGAATTGGGGGCATGTATCCAACTTATAGTAGGATCACTAATATGATTTAAGGTGCCCAGAGAACCCAATACCCCTTGATTAAGGAATATACCCCTTAAATCATAATATATTAAGGCCCCTATAGCTTAAGGTATATTCCTTAATTAACGGGTACTGGGTTCTCTGGCTATGGTACTACCACAATAACCAAAACAGTGCCGCGCTAGTGCGGCAATCATCTATTAGAATCACGCTGGAAAGCACCATGACGAGCAATGCGTGTACATTGTAAAACGAGAGTGATTAACCCCCTAAACTCTAAACCCTAAACCCTGAACCCTAAACCCTTAAACCTTATAAACCCTAAGCCCTAAGCCCTTACGCTGTCAACGGTTGCCATGCTTGGGACTCAGCTACAGTTCTCTTGAACAACCCACACGTGCGTTTTTTTGCCGTACGTCCTGACTTCTTTCTGCTTTTTTTCAGGGAGCACGGCCAAGCTCCGGGTCTGGAGCTCGGTCTAGCTTTGGCCCCGTTTCGAGAGAATAGGATTCAGGGTTTAAGGTTTTTAGGGCTTAGGGGGTTTAGGGTTTGAGCGCGAAAAAAAGCGCATGACAGTTCCGCGCAAGACCATGCAGTCAGGATTCCAATACAGGAGCCTGAACAGCTAGAAGAATACGGTCATGGGGTAGAGCATACTTTGCACGTAGAGCAAGAACCCAGAAGACTAATCCCCGCCACCGCACCGGTTAAGCATAGGGGCCAGAATAATCGGAACAGGTAGAGTATACTTCTGTTTGAACAGGAAGCACAAGGAATACTATTCTAACGCCACGCTTCAAATACTAGTATTTCAATAGTATTTTTCGAAATATTTTTATCAACTCTAAACTTTTACCTAAACCTTATAAACCCTAATCACATTCTTGTGCAGGATATGGGCTTAGAGCAGCTTTACTAGGCCGGAGTTATGGAGTTTTATGGCCTAGGGCCTAGAGCTTTTGTACTCAAAACCCAAACCCAAAACCCTAAACCCTAAACCGTAACCGTAAACCCTAAACCTTAAACCCGAAGCGTACTCTTGCCACCCCCCGCCGCGACACCTTGTATGTGGTGACCAAGCCGTAGATTTTCCCCTCCTGGGCTCGTCCCCAGAGACCCCAATTTACACCTTACTTAAGGAATATAGTGAACCCCAGAAAGTTGGAACATGGGTTTAGGATGATTAGTGCTGGGATTCTCTATGCTTTACCTTATGGGCATGAGGATAATGATGTTCCAACTTTCTGGCTTCTACTCGATACCTTAAATTATAGGGGCCTTAAGATTATGATTTAAGGTATGGCCTCAATATTATGATTTTAATTCTATTCCTTAATTAAGGGGTATTGGCCTTAATACTATGATTTAAGGTCTATTCCTTAATTAAGGGGTATTGGCCTTAATGTTATGATTTAAGGTATATATTCCTTAATTCAGCGGTATTGGTATTGGGTTCTCTGGGTCTTTGCACAAGGCCCATGGCAGCTGAAGGGTTTAGGGTTTTGGGTTTAGGGTTTTGGGTTTAGGGTTTTGGGTGTAGGGTTTAGGGTTTAGGGTTCAGGGTTTAGGGTTGAGCAATGGCAGCTGGAAAAAGGAATTTCCTGAATTCAAAGAGCCGTGTAGAAGCCTGTTATAGAATCAGAGGCACTGCGGGTAAAAGCCTAAACCCCCAATCCCTAAACCCTTAAACCCCTAAACTCCTAAATCCTAAAACCCCAAGGTCCTTACGAGGCAAGTCACCCTTCGGAAGCTCGGATGAAGCTTGGCAGCCAAGGCAAAGTTATGGACCCCCAATTTCATCGTGTTCAACTTGCCTTAGATGTGAGGCCGCTGGGGCTTTAAAGGGACCCTAGAAGGGCTTCGGGCTTAGGGCTTCGTGTTTAGGGTTGCAGGTTTAGGGGTTTAGGGCTTAGGGTTTAAAGTCAAGGGTTAAGGGCTTAGGGCTTAGGGCTTCGGGTTCAAGGTTTAAGAATTAGTGGTTCAGGGCTTAGGGTTTAAAGTCAAGTCAAGGGTTAAGGGTTTATAGGGCTTAAAGATTAGGGTTTGTAGAGGGCTGCGGGATGTAGCGACCCAGATCTCTGCGCTTTGGTTCGCTTTGTGACTTCAGGAGTGCTTTCGTAAGGCAGAAACCATGGGCCCCTGGTACGGGCCCTTAACCCTGGGATCCTTATACACCTGCCATATACCCTGTATGTACCTTTAATTTAAGGGTCCCTAGAAAGGCTTAAGGGTCCATATTAGGGGCCCATATGTCTGACCTTAGAGCTTTGTTGCCACCTAAACCCTAGGTTTCAACCTTTAACCTATGGGTAGTTCTCTAAATTAGGGTCCCTTTCAGGGGCCTTTTTATAAGGGTGCCGTACCATACTGGGGACCCTAATTTAGAGAACTACCCATATGTATTTTAAACCTTAAACTCATTTGTTGAATATGGACCTTTTTCGGTGCCTTTTTCACCAAATTCAACGAAGAAAAAAAAAACACATTCGACGAGGGCAGGCCCTGGTTGAATATGGCGATGTCTTAGTTGAATAATGTAGGGGCCTTAATAACTAGACTAGGGTTTTGGGGATTTTATACTATAATTACAAATAAGGAACCCCGAAAACCCTATTCTAACTATTAAGGCCCCTACATTATGGGTTGTCTTCATCGTTTTGGTTTGGGCTTTGGGGTTTAAGGTTCAGGGCCTCGGGCCGTTTCGGGGCTTCGGGTTTAGGACCAGGGTTTTGGGGTTCAGGGTTTAGGGCTTTGGATTTCAGCTTTATGGTGTATTGACAGTATAATGGCTTCCTCATGATACAGTTGATGATATAAATCCTGCATTACCCAGAATAAGGAATAAATATGCCATAATTCCCATCGTTTAGAGTCCTTAAGGTAATGCAGCCCTAAATCCTAAACCCTAAACCCCTAAACCCTAAACCCCTAAATCCTGAACCAAGGATTTATATCACCAACAGTATGGGAATCTTCGGTGAGGGTCCGGAGTTGAGCTCGAATCGAAACTGGTCGATCCGGAGCTGCTGAACCCTAAACCCTACAACCCTAAACCCAAATCCCTAAACCCTAAACCCCTACGCCCAAAACCAACAACCCTAAACCCTACAACCCTAAACCCAAACCCCTAAACCCAAAACCCAAAACCCTAAACCCTGAAGCCCTTCAGTGACAAATTAAAGAAAACTCATCCGAGCGGCCCAGAGCAGGCGACCCCTCGGCTTCTTCCCAGGAGACTTCATCGATGGAGGTGAATGGCCTTTTCGGGCTTTAGGGTTTTGGGGTTTTGGGCTTAGGGTTTAGGGCTTTGTGGCCTTAGTTATTTGAGTAGGGTTTTGGGCTACCTTATAAAATTTCCCCCAAGCCCTAAACCCTGTATTGTTGGAGGTGAACGGCCTTTTCGGATAGGTCAACTTCACCCACCGGAGTGGCTGGTCCTTGAAGCGATATGGACACTCGATGTCCGTACCATGCAGGACGCAAGGGTTGGCCAACGGAAGGGCCACGAACTCCTCGGCACGACCGCGCCGGCCATCTTGCTGCAGCAAAGATGGTCCATCCTGTCCAACATCTTCGGAACGCTCACAGAGCTGCCCGACTGGGCATTCCGAGGCACGCAAGCAAAGGAAAAGGCTTGCAAAGCCGACAGAACCTTGGAAGGGATGCATCGGATGTAGGGCAGAGGCCGTCGGGACTCTTCAAGGCCGTGTTTGAAACCACAATGGCTGTCTGCAGAAGCTATCACGAATCAGGGGGCCTTAATTTGGCTCCCTTGTATGTATAGATATCATCAGGAACACTGAGGAATACTATTGCAGCCCCTATGTTATTCATTGTCAGCGGTGGCAGGTGCCATGCTGCTGCTACCTGCTGCTGCTCCCCTTAAGCTTACCGTCGCTATGTTCGTCGTCACGACTGTCAGCGTTGCGCTTCTGATCACTCTCGTGACAGCCCGTATAGCTCTTGCACTACCACTGTGCTGACATCATGCCCCAAGGTCAACTGCTTCTCCAGCATTGAAGTGGTGATTAAGCCTTGCCAGTGGTACTAATTGTTATGGCCTGATCATGATCAAGCTCATCATCATCGTCGTCAGCATCATCAACAATCTGGGCTTGTCTCGGATGCCTTGTACCTACATCGACGGCATCTGAAGCCGTACATTTAGGGCTGGGTGAGTTACAGTTGAAGGCAATGCACGAGCTTGATGGGAACTTTTTGTTTTTGACCCGAACAACTCTAGACGGATCGAAACTAAAGCCTTGTTCGAACTATGAGGCCGATACGACGAAGGACACACTCATGAGCAGAGTCGATGACTGGATAATGCAGGTTTTATATTATCAACAGTACGGTTGATGATCTTAAATCCTGCATGACCCATAACAAGGAATATACCGTAACTCCCATA